TAGCAGAATTTCTCTGTTAAATCTAACAGCAGAAAGAAAACAAGCCTTTATTCCATAGCTACAGAATTATGTGCAGTATTTTTAAAAACACAGCTCTATCAGATTGCTCATAAAATGCTTCTCTTATCTGAAATACCCACAGAATTTTTTTTTTTTTTTCAAATGGATGTGTTTCGGGGTGGGGGAGCTATCTTAAGTGTGATATTTTGGCTCGACTATATCTTAACCGTTTATACAACTATTTGCATAGGAGTTTGTTGCGTTCCATTTTTACACGTGCAGTGGTAAACGTTCTAGGTGGTCTAGTAAGTAAAAGACAGACCTTCTTTAAAACACTTCTTCGGTAGCGAGCACTTTTATTTTGGTACCCGTTCATTTGTTTTGTTATGAAGGCAGAGCTTTACTCCACTCTCTGCTGATATTAGTTACTTGTCTTGAAGCAGATTTGAGACTTTAGAGCTGGCAGATTAAAAATAACCATCACCTTAATACACTGGCTTATCAAAAACCCAATGTATCTACTTATTGCATGATGTCATTCTAAACTGGGGTACAGTAAGAGTTAACAACATTTTGGTCGGTTAGAATTATTAACTTTACAGTCAAGGCTTTCAGCCTGCATGAATCGTGGAAGAACATCTTCAGCTAGTGCAGGTTCTCCTAGCTTGATAATATGTGCACGTGGAAGGCTTGCCGTGGTGTGAGTTAACGGGCAGCGCACGCCTGGGAGCGGTTTTCAGATACTCTGTTGAGGCGTGCAGTGTAAGAACCAATATAAGGCAGATCCCCCGTGCAAAACTTCCCGGAATACATCTCACTTATTTGGGCTCTGTGAAGGGTCCTGGCTTCTGTCCCAAGACAGCAATGACTCTTACACTACGCAAACAATTTCTACAGTTTATTTTTCAATATGCTGCCTTCGAAGTTCTCAGTTTTAAGAGTTATTTCCTATGAATTCTGATACAATGTTAAAATCTGCACAAGAAATACTTGATGTTACTCGTTTGATTTGTGACTCAGTCCCTGAAGTATTCTCAGAGATATTGTTATAAACTTTGTTGATATTGCTAGAAATTTCTGTAGAAAAAAAGAATTCTTGATTCCGCAGGAGCTCTGTCATTGGCTGCAACATCAACTATTTAGAATTTGTCACGCACAACACATTAAAACCACTGACGTACTCTTTTTTTGCTTTGAAAGATACATCTTTTGATCAATATTCATCTTTCTAGCACTGAAAACTTCCTCAAAGACACTTTTCCAACACGGGAAATGATTGTGCATTTCTGCGTGTACATATCACTTGATGAATACCTGTTCCTGAAATAGCATGCTCATCTATCATTACTAGAACCACAAAATGAAACATGAGAGTATCAACCATCACTACAGAAACTGCCACAGTGAACGTGTACACGCAGCCACTCACAGTACAAGACATCTTAGTAACTTCACACTTACTAAGGAAATACGATGAGCTGATTTTAAAAAAGAATATATTCATCTAATATAGCTTGAATTATAAAGACTAGGGGTAGAATTCTGCTTCTAGCGGAGGGGGTGAGGTTCTGTTTGATTTCAGGAAAGCGTCAAGTGCTACCCTAATGCCTACTAGCATTCCTCAACGCCATGCTTTAAAGATGACTTTTGAACATGAAATTTATGGTTAAAAAAATTATACCTCTTGACGTTTGATTTCTTTAGATGTAAGCACGTGATTGACACAAACATCAAAGGTCTCACTCCATAGTTTGCTGTCTCTCCGCTTTGTGTTAGCAGGGGGCACATTTCGAGACCATGGTCGTGGACTGAACAGATCTGGGCGACTGTCACTACGGAAACTGATAGAACGCTGGAAATATATAGAAGAATAGTTTTTATTGTTAGAACAGTTTCACATTACACATTTTTTTTCCCTAAGGAATTTATATACATAGTTCAGTACAACAAACAAATGTCATCTAATTAGTTTTTACTGTGACTTAATAGCAATGTTTAGTATTAGGACTGTAAGAAAAATTATCTCAATTCATCTTTATGGAAGGCCAGTACTTCTGTTCCTGCAGTGAACTATGTCCACGTCCTGTTCTTAACACGTTTAAAACTGTACAATGCACTCACGTACCATGCAACAAGAACGAATACAGGGATAATGGCAGAATGGTCCAACACACTGAACTAACATAACTGGTCAAATACAAAGTTTCAATTCAGTAAACAGACAGGAATTATTCATGCATTACACATATCTGCCTCATTAGATCCCTAATACCTAAACATTTAGAATTAATGCAAATTTTAGAGACAAAACTAGTAAGAATACTTTTTTGGTTCATTTTGAAAGAAAGATTCAATTGTTATACAGAAACTCTGGAAAGCTAGGACAGCAGAATCTGGTAGATAAACTTATCGTGTTCATCAGCTGAAAGTCAACAGAGTTGTTGGGGTTTGCTTATTTTTGGGGGGTGGGATTTTGGGGTTCAAAGATGTCTGTACTGACAAACAATAGCTCCTACCTCGAGGATATCAGATGAAAAGGTGCATTACATCAAACAGAAGAAATGGTTTAAGAAAAAAAATGTTTTCTCAGTTGGGAAGAAAGAGGGTTCATAAAGCGAGACCGCCCTTCAAAACCTTTCCTCTTACCTTAGTAAGTGTCTTGCTACCTGATGGTAATACTTCTTTTTTTTGTAAACTGTCAGAATCATGAAAGATTTGATTGGTATAATCATTCCAGATATGTCCATAAGCAGGATTAAATAATTAGCGCTATAACGCTCTAACTGGCCAAACTGGCTTTGACACATGGAGAAACCCTTTCAGCTGGTAACATCCTGCCCTTTCAGATGTATAATGAGATCAAGTAACTAATTCACACAGAAAGCTGTGACATGGAGATCTGAATGAAAGGAGAAGAACAATCACATTATCTTTAAGGAAAAGGTATGTCAATATGCAGATTTTAATGTTTATGACAAGCAACAAGCCAGATTCTTTTCACACCACTTGTTCCTACTTATTTCTTCGCATTTGAAGAAATGCGTGAAACAACCAGTGGTAGCAGATGGCAAATTGTGAAATACAAGTATTGTGTTCTGCTATTGTAGAGTCTTTATTAATATTTCTGGAGCCTCTAAACTGTGATGATGTGTACCAGCATCTCTGTATCTATTACGTGGCGTGGTCTTAAACTTCAATAAAAACGAATCCAATTTTAAGTGAGACTTGAGAGTTCCATTTGCCTGTAGACTCTTAGAAAGAGTTCAGGCTACAGATAGATACTTTATGCTCTCACTGTCCTATTTTGAAAAGATTCCTTTCTTGCTTCCTTAAAATTACAGGCTTCTTTTTGAGGTCCTACCTCTGAAATGCCTCAAGTATTTCACATTGTTGAAATACTCTACATTGTTGTTGTTATTTAAAACCTGCCTTACATAACACAATCATTTTTCAATTGCCTTGGATAAGAATATTTAAAACAAAATAAATTATCTTCATTTCCAGGTTGAAAGCAGCATATACAAAGTACAATATTTGAAATTCTCCTCTGAAGATAAGAGCCCATGAAATGCAAACACTGTCTATAAATACAATATGTTTTTAAAATATCAGAATACACTTTATATAAATAAAATCTGTGCCTTTTAACAGAAGCCATTTTGAGCCCTACTTGGAACTGACAAAATCCCTAAAAATAAACACACACACACATATACCAACCTTCCAAAACTTTGCAAGTCAGGTGCTAGTCTTCCTTCAAGAGTTAAGAAGATAAAGAAACACACGTGAAATTACATGCTTAATTTACACTTGTTATAATGATGACTCATGGAACCCGTTATTTTCACATGCAAATGGAAAGATTAGGGAAAAGAGGCAGAGTGTGTTGCATCCACAAACCACCACCCATGAGAAGGCAGCCAAGCAGAACAGTTGTCATTCCATGACCCAGAGTGGAACGCCCCTTCCCATGCATTCCCATGTGCATCCTCCAGTGTATAGCTCCTTTCTTTGTGGTGGTGACTTCTTAAAGGAATGCTTTATGTTGAATGAAGAAAGTACTTATAATGAACAGCACCAGACAGACTAATTTTTAAAGTAAATGCCTTGATCTTGAAACCTTTTAACAGGAAGTTATATCATGTTGTGACATGGCATGCACCTGCAATAGCAAATCGAAATTACATACAGTGTTTTGAGAGAAGTAAGCTTTCACATCCACTGATAGTGATGTTTCTCTACGCTGCATGTGAGTGCTCGATACTATTCTCTACAGCCCTATACTGTCCTCCATTGGGCAGAAAGGGCACAAAGAGGCTGAGAGACTCAAATGGAAACCAAACTCCCCCAAATCCTGCTTGCTTGCTTAGCATCTTTGCTACCTGGACACAGTAAGTGTACCTTTAACTGATTTCTCTCATACATCAGCCTTTCAATTAACCATACAAAGCGTACCTTGCTTAATATTAAGAAGGCACATTGGACTGAGGGTATTTATTAGTGGAAAGGGAAAGAAATGTTTTGAGGTGTTACTTAATGAGGCCAAATTTCACTTCAAGAGCAAGTGGTTTCTTTGTCTGACATGTTTCCTCCTTTATTATACACTAAAGCAGCAAAGGCAAAAACACTGACTGACTTCATCCCGGTACACTGAAATCTAGTTAGGCTGGGAATCACATACTTCAGTGTGGAATCCAAGCTTATTTTAACATGTTATCTTCTCCTTTGCAGAAATCGGCTTGTAAAGCTATGACGAAGCAAACTAACACATCACCAGGGAAATACTATTTAATGCTAAAATTAATACTTTGTCGCTTGAGAGTCAAGCAAACTTGAATCATCAATGCTGTGACAAGAATAGAAATGAGACATAAACCTCATATATAAGCCTAATTAAAGAAATGCCCAAATAAACAATAAATTATTTCAACAAACCTCTCTCATAGTTTAAGATAAATGTGCAACATCAGTTTAACCATCCCAGTTCTACTACTTCACCTTTTTTTTTTTTTTTTGCAATAAACAGACCCATTTCAGTTTAGTGGAATAGAGCCCTAAACTGAAGTTCTAGCAGAATTTTTAAAACACAAGTTTAAAGGTACTCTCATGGTATCTTTAGTTGTTACTGGCCATAAGGGGGGGGGGGGGGGGGGGGGGGCAATCAGTCATGTGATAGAATCCCATGGAAGAATTATAGGAATGTCAAAACAGCATTTCTAGGTCTCCAGTCTTAAAAATATTGTCTGGGTTGCTGGATTCCTTAAAAAACGTGTCCAGCATGCTTGTTAAAAATTATGCCCATCTGGGATTATTAAAATTTTCATATAATTCCAAAAACTAAAGGAGCTGGGGAAGAATCCAGCCACAACCCCTGATTTTGTTTACTGTGTTTATCTGACTGCAATAGCTCTCACTGGCTGTTACAAGATGGTTACTGTGAGGGGTCAATGTGTTACTGATGTTAATTCATGCAATTAGCAAACCTTACTTTCAGCTGCAGTAATGCAAACAGCTTTATACACTGGGGAAAAGGCACTACAGAGCAAAGTCCTAGCATTCGGAACCGATGTTACAGTTTTCTTCTTAAGGATGTTTAGAAATTTCCAGTGTCCTAGGACAGAAAAATAATTTGGACTCCCTACTTAAATTCAAGACACACTGATGAAAACTGAAGCTGCAGAGGAAGCTAGCCAGACTTTAATGTCTCTCTTCAGCATCAGCTGGAGCTCTTTTTCTGATCCTGTTTTCAGCTTTTAAGCCGAACAGCACAGCTGTGAATAAGACCAAGCAGAAACAAGCAGATAATCATAATCATTAGTCTAGCTTGATGCAGGCTGAAAATACAGCTATGAAATAAAGTGGTTTTCCAGGTGGATCAACAAATAAGAGTACCTGCTTAGCATTTGGTATCCTGCAGATACACAGACAGACTCTGTCAGAGATGAAGCTAACGGCATGATATTAATCAGTTAGCGTACAGTGCTCTATGTGACAGAAACAGAGTGACTACAAATAGTCAAAAAAAAAAAACCCCAGAAAGAATGCTGGTAAGACCTTATCTGTTTTGGTACTCGGAATCCTTGTGGAAAAGTACTGACAAGAATGTGGAAAGCTGTAAGGAAGTTAAGACGACAAAAAAATCAAATACCTCTATAATCAGTAAAATATGCAAAACATGAAAAGTTGCTAAGAACGTATCTTAGAAGACACTACGCACATCTCACACAGAGGTGTTTCTCTTCAACTGGCACCCAGAAAGTCTATTAATATAAAGGGGAAGCTACATATACAGAGATAAGGAAAATTATGCACAATAAACTTTTTTTTTTCCCCTCTTACATGTATCCTCCATTCAGAAAGAATATATAAGAAGGTTTGTTTGAAATGCCATTGTTGTTGGAGTGGTGATGATAGTAGTTTTCTTCATTTTACAGATACAGAACATCTAGCAGCAATGCAAGGAGAAACATGGGTTTTGACCGAAATAACTTAACAATAGATACATAAAAGTTCATCCAGTAAGAAAAATCACCACTTTTTTTCTTTTTACAGGTATTACACCATGAAAAAAAAAATCCTGCTCTATACTGTTGCACAAGGCACAGTGACAGCTATGTCAATACATAATAAACTAAAAAAGCTATACATGCTTCCCAGAATGTTTCTAAATAATTCCAAATGGGGCACCCGAGCACAAGAAGGTCAGTCTTTTTTTCCCCTGTTCTATTGTTGCTGACAAAGTCAGATGAGAAGTCAATTTACAGCCAGCCACGAAGCCAGTTTTGAGAGACATCACCAGCATTCATCACTTGGAAATGGATTCAGACCTAGGATTTGGAGAACGTACAGGTTGATTTCTCATCGCAGCTCATTCAAGGACATAGTTACTTAGGGGAGATGGTATGAATAACATCGCTGTTTAATCTGCTTAGAAGCAGACAGTTAATGAAAATATATTCTAATAATCAGTATGAACAGAGCAAGACAGAAATGCTTGCAACAGTAGGACTTGCAACAAAGCCACTGTTTTCTCTCCTGTTTTTGTCAAAATTTGCCCCGAAACACATTTATGTAGCTCTCATCTCGGGGAGCTGCTACTACATGCATGAAAGGATAGCTTGTTACGGAAAGTCCAAATCAAACTGTATTAAGTACAATATTGTACTGGACAACCCAGTCTCAGAGGCCTTCACTACAGAACGATAGCGTAGGTACCTAAATGAGGACAACAGCTGTCTCGGGCTGTGAAAAGGGAAGCGCCGTGCTCAGAAGCAGTTTAGCCAAAAATTAATTCACTTTCCACACTCCTCACAACTGGAACTAATGCAGTTCTTTCAGAGTCGGGCCAGTTCTTTCCTGGAGGCAGACTACAGAGGAGATTTATACACCGCAGGGAATACAGGCATCTCTGCTCTAGTCACGCTATAACACACCTTCCGGATCAAGCCCAGACGGAGGGGAGCGCAGCCCTTTTGCCTCGCCTCCAGCCCACACGTGCGGCTTTTGTATGCCGATGTCTGCACTTTCAAAATCATAGGAACCCAGCACAGGAAAACCAATGTTAAAGAAACCCTGTAATATCTGTTTACCAGATCACTACCACTACAGAAAAATGGGGTTCTTTCCCATGACGTGTTATTTATTTGTCATAACTCCTAGCTCTAAGGTTTTATTTCTTTCCTCCTTGAGATTAACAGACAACTTCAGTAATGCTCCAATTAAGCTAATTTTGATTAAGTAACATTTTTAATACATTCAAGATATTTTTATATTTCCTCTCATCAAAGAAATTAGGCTTGTTAAATAATTTTCTTTAGATCTTATACATGCCTTCTTACATAAACTGTTTTAAAGAGGAAACAGTCTGGCCTGCTAGGCCAGACCCACAGCAATGCTGCAGCTCCCAACTGTTTGCCACTCATAACCGTAGGAGTTGAGCACCCAAATGTTTTGCAGTTTCTAGGTCTGAAGGCACAAATACTTTATAAATTAAAGTCCCATTAGTCTCTAAGTCTGTTAAATATTACACACCCAATCCATAATATAGAAATTGCAACTACAAAAATACGTAATTTCTAAACTGCATTTAAAATTTGCTTGCCCTTTATTAATTTTCATCATCAGCTTCGAAAAATGACTTTTTTCCAATTGTTCACCAACACTTTTGTTGGGGCAAGGTCAAAGTTCGCTACACAGAAGGAAATTTAGCAGTCCTACATGACGTAGCTATACCAAAAATAACCAACCAAAATTAAGTATCATGGAAAATTCTGTTCATGAAATTTAAAAAGCAATCGTAATCCTTTAGTATAACAACTTTTATACGCTACAGGTGCAATAGTTTTCTTACTGGTAATTAAAAAACATCGGTTAACGGGACAGAGAAGTGTGTTTTTGAAGCGAGAGTTCTGAGTTTTTAAGCGGGGTGCCTCTGTAGCCGTGAGTTGCCTAACCCGGTTTGGCCCATTACAACGGTGTGTGCGCATACGTGCGGTTCACATCCCCACGCTAACCCCAGAAGAGACTGTGAACGTGTACGCATTCCCCTTTTAGCAAGGCAGTGTAATGCAGCAATGCCTTTGCTGGGATTACCTGAAGCGTGTGGCTGA